CTATCACAAAATAAACATCCACAAACTGTCATCCAAGTGAAGAACTAGAACTTTACTCATTCCTGCCTCCTCCTCTTTTCAACCCCCCACCCCCCCAACCTCCACAAAGGCAACCTTTCCTCTTTTATGGTAATAATTTTCTTGTTTTCCTTTAAAATTTTATCATCTAAATACATATCCCATTTAATGCTATGGTGTAGTTTCCCTGTTTTTTGAGTTTTATATAAATGGAACCATTAAAATAGGGATTCTCTGGTATATGACTTATTTCGCTCAATCAAATAAGTGTGTGAGATACCTGCCTGTTGTTATATATAGTTGTAGTTCATTCATTCTCATTGCTGAAAGTTTTCCACTTGTCTGAATACACTATAATTTATCTCATCTATTACTAATGGCTGTGTCTGGGTTTTGACAATTATAAACAAGCTGCCATAAATATTGGTGTGCACATGCATGCATTTAGGCTGGCTATACTTAACAGAACTGTATAACTTTTCAGTGGATATTATCAACCTATATTCCAAAGCAGTTGTACCGATTCATACTTACAGTAGTTGTGTGTGTAGGTTCCAATTCTTCCATGTCCTTGCCAACACTTAGCGTTATTAATCTTTTTAATTTTAGCTCTTCTGGTAGTTATATAGTGGCATCTCATTGTGGTTTTAATTTGCATTTCCCTAATGACTAATCAGGGTGAGCCCATTTTCATCTATTTATTGCATATTTATGGTTTAGTAGCTTTGGCAACTCCTCATCTGACTCATACTGAAACTACAGCCAAATGAAATACAGTTTCTGACAGATGATGCTGTTTAGTCATATCTTCTTTACTGACTTCAATTTTGGATTTTGGGTCCCCAAAGCATGTCTGGACATTCTTTTTTAAAAATTAATTAATTAATTAAAAAAGTAATCTCTACACTCATTGCGGAGCTCAAACTCAAGACCCTGAGACCAAGAACTACATGCTTCACTATCTTAGCCAGCCAGGCGCCTCTGAACATTCTTAATAGCTAATATTTATCAAGTGTCCACTGTGTTCCAGGCACTGAGCTATATGCTTGATATGCATCACGTCTCCTAAACCTCACAACCAGCTTATGAGGTTGCTACTAGGATTATCTGCATTGCATGTATGAAGAAACCTTGGGGGAAGTTATATCTATCTATCTATCTATCTATCTATCTATCTATCTATCTATCTTACTTGCCATCTCATGACGAGGTGTGTAACCTATATTCAAATCAGTACCTTTAGCCACTATAACACACTGCCTCCCAAAGATGGAAACATTTGACTATATTTAAAAAAAACCTTTAAAAATGCTTAAAAACTGAATAATAAAATGGACACATAACTGTCAAAAGGAGAAAAAGAGTTGCACAGCATGACAAGGGTTTAATGTGCTTAATATGGAAAGAGTTCTTACAAATTCATTAAAGGACACAATAAAAAAACAGCCAAAGGTTTCTGTGGTCAGGTAAGTCTGGGAAACTCAGCACATCTTTCATGTTCTCTTACCCCAACAGTGTATCTAAGCAAATTTAGGACTCCTAAGTTCCACACTAAAAACTTACTTTAATGCAGCATTTTCCAAGCCTCTGACCAACATAGGCTTTAGCATTTGAATAATTATAATTCTTTGGAACAGACTTTGAAGCATGTTAAACTCTATAATAACCACTGCTTCTTCTGGTTTCTGGACTGGTAAAACCTTCAACAAAGGAAATAAAATTAGTTTTCTCCTGGGTTTCTCAACTCAGACACTATTGATATTTTAAGCTGTAGAATTCTTTATTGTGGGATTGTCTTAGGCATCGTGGGCTGTTCAGTAGCATCCTTGGTCTCCACTCAGTAGATGCCAGATGCCAGTAGTACTAACCCAACCCCCAGTTGTGACAACCAGAATTGCCCCATGGGAGGCAGAATCCCCCCCCCCATAAGAACCATTGGTCTAGTCTGACTGATTTCTAAAGAACCTGTTGGTGCTCCCCATGATTACCTCCTACCTAAATGCTCCCCAAACTGCATAGCATTTCCCTATATTTTGATTTCTGTGCCTTGTGACAGCCTCTATCCATTGTTAAGAGAGCATCATTCCATCTCTTGTCTTTGGGTCCTTCTTGTTTGTTAGAACTCCTTCTATTTTCAGGCATGGAACTTCTTTCTACTCTTCTATCTTCTAGGTGGAATTAAGCTCTTTTCTTCAATCTTCGTACTCACCACACACTCTCCTATCAGAACCCCAACACATATTATACCTATTTATCTGCCTGTCTCCCCAATTCCTTGACAGCAGAAAGTGGGTCCTATTTATCTCCTGATTCTCAGCACCAAGTGAGCACTAATCAATATATATGAACAAAAGCAGCAAAATATAATTGAGGGTGGATCAGCAGGGACGTAGGTGGATTTCCAACAACACTGAGTCCATTGGCAACTTCTTCACTAGTTTCTTCCGAGGAATGTTCTCTTTGCTGGTCTCCAGGAAATCTTTTTTCTTGAGAGAAGCAGAAGTACCATGGAAGTTACCAATTTTGTTTTTCTCCCTCTCAGACACGAATATGACATCACTGGCTCAGTTGGCATGCCCAGGCCATCCCTGATAGTTTTCTCATTCCAAACTGAAGGAGAAAAGCCCTTTTCCCTTGGTGTCAGCATTTCGGCGAACTGTAGTTTGTTCTAGCCAGTGGCTTTTATCCTTGGATATATGGCCTTCTTTCCATGCTCTGGGAGTCCCTTTTGGGCCTGAGTTTCTCAGAGCACCCCTTCCCCCAAGCATTGCATCAGTCTCTTTAAATATTTCCTGTCTGGGATACTTTGAAGCTTTAGACACCAAATTTAATTCTTGGGAACTCTTTTAACTTTCCCAGAGTTGTCCAACATGGTGGCAGTGGATGGAAAGAAAGGGATGGGTTTGAGAAACATTAACAAAGGCAAGTGACAAGACTTGATGACCTATTGGACATGGAGGAGGAAGATGACTCCCAGATTTCTGTTTTGAGATGATGGAGGGATTGGTGGTTCCTGCTGTAGAGAAGACCACAGGAGGGGGTGGGGGAGGAGAAAGACAAGAGGGAGTGCAGGTTGTCTGGGATAAGTTTTCATGGGAGACAGGGGAGCATGTAGAGGAGGGAGCTGGGTATAAGAGCTGAGGGTCTGGATGGGAAATGCAACCCGGGGGACTGTTGGCGCGCAGGTGGCTGTAGAAGCCAAGAGAGCAGATGAGTGCTCAGATTGCATGTGCTGTTGGCACAGACACATTGAAGATGGTGCAGCAAGAAACCAACATGGAGGAGACTGTGAAGCAGTGGTGGAGACAGAGGAGAGCCAGGAGAGAAGCATGAGTCAAGGGCCACTGGAAAAGGAGTTTTGGGACAGAAGGGACAGCATGCAGCTTTAAGAGATACAGGGAGGTCAGTTCCTATAGGGTCCAAAAGGTGCCTGCTGACTCAGCAGCATAGGGTCGCTGAGGACTAAGGCAAGGGCAGCCCCAGCAGAGTGGAAGGGCCTCAGCCCAGTGGCAGAGGTGTAGGAGGCATTAGGAGGATGGGGAGTAGGGCACAGACACAAGGGCACATCTAAAGAGGGAATCACTCATTCATCCACTTGCCCAACAAACCGATAGGCTACTTGGCGCCAGGCATATGGCAGTGGACCAATAGGCAAGACCCCTGCCCTCATGGTGTGTACTTTCAGGAAGATGTACTATTTTAGAGGGAGGATTTATTTTAAAGACGGTTGTTAGAATCATCACCATTCGACAGAGAAGGCCAAGAGAGGTCAGATGGCAACTTGTACAAATTCACACAAATATCGGAGCTATGGGTCATGCCCTGACCTGTTCGGCCCTTTCCACTCTTTGCTGCCTGAAGGGCATGCAGTTTATGTGGGAACAGATGACACAGAAGGCATCACAGGGTGGGGAAGAACAAAGGTGCCAGATGCAGGATTATTTATGTTTGGGCTGTGCCTGCTCAGATCAAGGTTTTTATCTCTTTGAGCCAGAGGCTTGAGAGGTGGGCCTGTGGGGGCCCTCACACTTCCCCATATTCCCACTCCTTTTATTTAGGAGTAAGTCTCCCTTTCCTGTGGGCACTCTGATCCAGTGGGTTCGACTGGGGCTGCATACATCTCCACATCTCCACACGTGCATGTTAGTAGCACAGGAACCCAAGAAAGGTTAATCAGTGTCCTCTGTGGGATTTATAGAGAGCCTGGAAAGGCACCATCTTTTTTCCTCCAGGAAGTGAGTTTGGGGACCAGAGTAAAGGCCACCCACAGCCATCTTAACTACCTGAAGAAAACACCAGGCAGAGAGGAACAGAGTCAAGAAATACAGGAGACCAAGCTCTCCTGGCCTTGCTTGGGCTCCTAGATCCAGCTCTGCCCAGACCTGTCAAGAACTCTCCCAGACTTCCTGGTGCCTTGAACCAATGGATTATCTTTTGTCTCCCGATTTGAGCTTCTACAAGTGCAACTGAAAGGATCTGACCAATTCTGACAAATATATCACCTGTGACTGGGTGAAATATGTGATTTACTCTTGCAGAAGCTAACTGACTCCATGAGCTTCCTCCATGGAGCCATGTGTATTCACCTCCTTCTAGGTTCTGGCCCTGTGGGTGGTGGGGAGATGAGTAAGACATAAGCTTAGAGAGCAGCTGTGGAAATGATGAGGGGAACAAAAGAATCACCATCTATAAAATGCTTTACATTCGTTTCTCCAAATCCACAATTACAGGAAACAATTAGCCAGCAATTCCAGGTAGGGTTCAGAGGGTACAGACGGGGCTGGATAGAAGCTCCGTGCCACAGGAGCTCAGAAGAAGGTGGGCTGGGGAAGACAGGGTGCGTCCTGCATCCTGGGTTCCTCTCACACTGTTCTGGGTGGCTGAGTCAAGGTGAGGCTGGCAGAGGACAGAGGGAGAGGGGAACAAGTAGACTGCGGAGGCCGCATGAGTGTGAATGCAAGTGTAAGAGCAGCTTCTCATACCTTTCCCATTCCGGCATGGGCGTGTCCCAGCTTGACCACCACAGGGAAGTGTGGCACTGTGAGCTGTAAGAGATAAGAGGAAATCACTCATTAGCATCCTAAAGCATTGCCACCAAGACTTTGGGCACCATCTGTTCTGTAGAAAGATCCAGTCATCTGATATTACTCGGAATCCCCACAAGAACGCTTTGACAGATGGTCATCCTGCTGCAGCTTGAACACCCGAAATGCCAGTGAAATTGGCTTCCAAAAGGAGCTCTGAACTCTTAAAACCCAGCCTGGCTGGGGAACCCACCAATCTGGAGAGATGGCAGGGGGGAGCAAACCAACTGGTATCAGATCCTGGCTTTATCACTTGGGCAACCTCAGACAAGCTCTACATGGATCTGTGGCTCAGTTTCCTCATCTGTAACATAGGGATGATGAGTATCCATCCCATATGGTTGCTATGACAATCAAACACATTATCACACATGAAACCTTTATGTTTTAAGTACCCAATGAACAGCACCTTTGTTACTCCCATCACGTTTCTGCTTTATATTATCCCTCAAAAAACCTTCACGTATCTGGAAATGCATGCCCCTCCCCCGCCCCTGCCAAGCCTTATCCAGGCTGTCCTATGAGGTTTCTTAATAATAGTTGTCATGCCCACCATGGGCACGTGCATTTATTGGCCACACTGTGTTGGGCACTGTTCTGAGCAAATGCCCTGGATCATCTCCCTTGGAGAGTCACGCTACTTGTCTGGTTGGTTTCCTGTAGCATCCTCATCTCCAAGAACACTGCCTGACCCAGGGAAGGTGCTTGATAGTGGAATCTGTGTTTCATTCAACCAGTCTTTTCAGCGAGACCTATGAGACATGCATGCTTCTTCTTATGATAGAGGAAGAGAGGGGGCTCAAAAGATTAGGTGCTTATGCATGCCCATGGTCACTCAGCTAGGAAGTGAGAGCACCAGGTTCAAATCTAGCTATACATTTCCTCCTTCATTCTGTTCATATGTTGTTTGAGATGTGTTTACTTGGTGTCTGCAAGTCTGTCTGGAGGTGCTCGAGGGCAAAGGTTGTCCCTTCTAGTTATTTAGTAATAACTTCTTGGATCAGCCCAGCCAGGGGTAATCATGTCCTACTCTCTGTGCTGTCTATCCTGGGGCTTGTCACTTGGTTCTGGCAGTGCTGTCTGTCCTGACCCTCTGTCTGCCTTGAGAGGAGGAACCCGGATCTTCTCTCTTGGTGCCCAGAGTATAGTCTGACATGGAGGCGCTGCTGTAGGTGCTTCGGAAAGGGGCTGCTGTGGGTCATGGATCCATTGGATCTCATCTCATTTTACCCACACAGTGGCTCCAGGAGGCAACCAGGGAATATTTTTAGTCATCATTTCATAGACAGGAACACTGAGACACAAGGCAGGTGCTGAGAAGGGGTGGACTGGGACTCGAACTTGGGCCTGTCAGACTTGAAGCCTGACATGAACGGTTTCTCCTAAGATCTAGCCTATCAGGGCTTCCTACAGTAGGTGCTGAATAAAAAAAAAATCCCTTATTCAGGCTAAGTTTTTTTTTTTTTTTTAAGATTTATTCATTTATTTGAGAGAGATGCAGGGGGAGAGCACGAGCACACAAGTGTGGGGGAGGGACAGGTTAAGGGGTAGGGGGAGAGAATCCTGAAGTAGATGCCCCGCTGAGTGCAGAACCCAATGTGGGGCTCGATCCCATGAACCATGAGATCAAGACCTGAGCCGAAACCAAGAGTCAGATGCTCAACTGACTGAGCCACCCAGGCTCCCCCAGGCTAAAATCGATCATATCTCAGTGCTTAGAGAGAACAAACACATGTTTTTTTTTTTTTTAAAAGGGCAATATTTTATTTTGATTTCAAAAGCAAATATGTACTCATTATATAAAAAGTTTGGAAAATATAATAAAGCACTATGTTGTTATTATACAGAAGACAATAATGATCGCTCCCAGAGTTTTAACAGTTTTGGTGTATTATCTGCTGGTAATCCACATTTTTTTCATTTGTTCTATATTGGAAGTATAATGAATATCCATTTTTGCTTCCTGCTCTTTCCGTTTACTGTTCTGGGGTAAGCATCTGGTGGTGATTACTTGTCAGTTTAATAGTTATTACAAAATATTTCACATATGAAAAAAGACCTAAAGAGCAATATTGTAGATATTACCTCACTTAAGAAATAAACCACTGCCCACATAGATGAAGTCCCTGATATACTTTCTTATCACCCTCCTTTCCCTTCCACCCAGAGGCAATCATCATTATATGAATTCTGTGTTTATTATTGCCTTGCATCTATTCATATTTTAACTATTACATATGGTTCTCATACAATATGCACTCCACATTTTTAAATTTTATGTATGTGATATCAAAAGAATCAAAAGATTCTTCACAATCTTTTTTTTTTAGCACATATGTCTGTAAGATTCACGTGTGCTCATCTATTTAGCTTGGATTCATTTTTACTCCTGCATAGTATTCTATTATATGAACACATTACCATTTGCCCACTTTCCTGATGAACATTTAGGCAATTTCTATTTCTCCAATGATAGACAGTATTAGTTCAGACATTCTCGAACTCCATCCTCCCTGCACTTGAAGTGGAGTTTCCCCAGGGCACATGCACAGGTGTGGAATTGCTGGGGCTGGGCAATGCTTTTCTCAGTTTTGCCAGATATTGCCAAATTAACTCACCAAAGTGGTTGCACTGACTTACACTCTCATAGGCACTGAAAGAGCTCCCAACACCTGAGGTTGAAAGACATATTTCACCAACCCAAGTGATGTAAGGTGGAATGAATGGGTATATTTTCACCAAGTGGCCTTTGTTCCCAAACAGAGTCATCACACCTGGCCATCCACTCACAGATCCTGGACATCTCGAGCAGTTTGAGAACTGCCTGGGTCACTACTGGGGCTTGAGATGAGGTCTCCATTTCATTTTAAGGTGGAGTGTGAGGTGAGGGGAAATCAGTGTGCTCTGTCTTCCCCTCCACCTCTCCCAGCCTCATTATCTCTCCACACACTGATGGATATTGGAAAGAACGTGGATGTTGGAGTTAAACTTATTCTCTAGTCTGGGGCGAGATCTTTAGCCTCTCCAAAACTTAGTTTTCTGATCTGCAAAGTGGGAATGGTCATGCCTAACTCATTTGATAGTTGGGGGAAGAAGAAATGAAATAAGGACTGTCAAACTGCTTAGCACCAAGGGGAGATTCAAACTAGAAGTGTAGAGCAGGACTGAGGGAAGGAAGAAGTTAACACTGGTTTTGTGGGAATGAGGACAGAGGTGAAGGAAGCCTGGATGATGGAGGAAGGAACAGAGGCTGTTGCTTGGCAGTCTGTGATAGTATGGCAGAGGGTGACATGAAGGCCACGAAGGGAAATCTGAAAGAACTTAGCAATTATCTTGCCTCACCCCCATGTTGCCATGTGGTGGTAGGTAGAATTTCTAGGAATGCTCCCCGAGGGATCCCATTTTAATCTCTGGAGGCTGCAAATGTGATGAGATTGTCAAATAAAGTCACACAAGGATTGTTTTATGTTAAATGTCACATGTGACTCTTAAGTATGGAGATATCTGGGAGAACCTAATCAAATCACATGAGCCTTTAAGAGTAGAGAACCATCTCAGGCTGGTGGCAGAAGAGGGAGGCAGAGAGAGTCAAAGCAGGAGAGAGACTCAGCACACTGTTCCTGCTTTGAGATGGGGTAGTTACTTGAAAAGGAATGTGGGTAGCCTCCCAGAGCCAAAGGTGGCCCCTGGCTGATAGCTGGCAAGGAAGTGGGGACCTGAGGTGTATCATACTGCAAAGAACTGAATTCTATCCTAACAGGAATGAGCTTGGAAGGGAACCCTGAGCTCCTGAGGAAAATGCAGTATGTTGGCACTCTGATCTTGGCTTTATGAGACTCTAAGTAAAGCACCTTGACATGCCAGCTTGGACTTCCAATCTACAGATCCATGAGATAATAAAAAGACGTTCTTTTTGACAGCTTAGTTTGTTAGAGCAGCAATAGGAAACTAATACGTATGTGTGTCCTCCTAGAAACTGAAGCCCAAAGAGTAAGAAGTGATTGTTTTCATGCCACACAACAGCAGAATGAGAAGTCAAGGTCATGAGTTTTGGGGTGTCTAGGTGGCTACACAGTTAAGCATCTGAATCTCTATTTCAGCTCAGGTCATGATCTTGGTCGTGGGATCCAGCCCACATTGGGATTTGAACTCAGCAGGGAGTCTGCTTGAGATTCTCTTTCCCTCTTCCTCTGCCCTCCCCTCCGCTACTCATGCTCTCTCTTTCCCTCTTTCACTCAAATAAATAAGTAAATAAAATCTTTAAAAAAAAAAAGAAGTCAAGATCATGAGTTTTGACTCTCAATTAAGCACTTTCTCTATCAAGGCACACTTCCCTGGGGACCACATGCATACCTAGGGTACAATAAATTCTTTCTAATCATAACGATCCATAAAATAATATCAAATCAAATCAATTCACTGAGTGAGAAGTATGTGGCTGACACCGTGTTTTATGCTGTGTAGGACACAGGAGATTGAGACAAGATTTCTTGTTTTAGAGAGGTGGGTTGTACAGTCAAAGAGCAGAATAAGGTGGCATGGTGGCCAAATCTGGGTGGGGCATGGAATCCTGAGCAAGTCTCCATAAGAAAGGAAGGCTTTGACAAGGATTCTTAAGGACAAGTATGCTGTGGATGGGTGGATGGAAGGCTCAGCATACCTGAAGGGGTGAATGGTGCAGAATACTTCGGTCTTCCCATGGCAGGTGTCTTAATTTTCATGAGCTCTAAAGAACCACCGGAAGGGAGGAATTATTTTATGATACTTAAAATGAGTTTATCTGTAATAAAGTTACTTTGGACATGATTGAATAGAATTATATATTTGAACTAAGTGCCCTTTTCCACCATTTTAACTAAACTTGAAGGAATATACTCATTGTCAGAAATAATGGGATGAGAAATTATGTCTAGATTTACAAGACACAGAAAATCAATGTAGAAAAATTTGAAAATTTGTAG